ATCCTTGTCAGCTATATTGACATCAGCACCAGCTTCAATCAGTGCATGGGTTACCTTTTCATTGTATATGGAACAGAACAAAGCTGTTTTGCCATCTTTATCAGTTATATTGACATCAGCATCAGCTTCAATCAGTGCATGGGTTACCTTTTCATTCCATTTAGCATAGAACAAAGCTGTTTTGCCATCCTTGTCAACCTTGTTTACACTGGCACCAGCTTCAATCATTGCATGGGCTACCTTTTCATGATCATTCGATAGAGCATAGAACAAAGCTGTTTTGCCATCCTTGTCAGTTATGTTGACATCAGCACCAGATTCAATCAGTGCATGGGCTACCTTTTCATGATCATTCGATAGAGCATAGAACAAAGCTGTTTTGCCATCCTTATCAGTTTTGTTGACATCAGCACCAACTTCAATTATTGCATAGTAGATTAACTTTTCATTGTATACACGGCCCTGCAGTAACATGAAACTAAAATTAATTAGATCTTGGAATTGCTCTTTTGATACTGCACCTTTTTCGACCAATGGCTTTGCCAGCATTACAATAACCATAAATTCGTCTTGTTTTAAATACAAAAAATCGTTAGAAAATTTGCAGATAACTTTCACGCAAGACATCTTCATGTCATATGCTGATAATAATCTAGGCAGTAAAGAAATTTGAGTCGGTAATGTACAATTAGAGACATTTACGCTTTCGAGGTGAGCTAATTCACTCAAATGGTATAATAACTCACTTAACGTTTTTATGGTCCAATCAGAAACCGAACATTTTCTTTCAGTATGTGTTACCATGAGAGAAAAAGTAAATGATCGTCCTATTAGCAGTGACTGGCGAATGTGACTGAAAGAATATTCTGAAATACTTGTTTTTTGCCTTGCTACTTTTTTACCAAACTCGTGCTCGAGCTCACTTAAATCCACACGAAATTCCAAGCACGAAGTTTGAAGTTCAAAGCCGTTATATTTAGTATAGCATTCCTTAAGGTAGTCTTTCCTCAATCCTTTTTGCGAAATTAAACGTTCGGCAGATAACTTGATGACAATTCTAGAACTTGAACTTGTAGATGTACCAGATGAGCTATCACTAGCAAGTAAGCCTTCTTCGTATGCGTCACTTGATGAATTGTTAACATCATGCTTGATTGCTTTGGGATTGATCGATTTGAAAGGTTTCATACTTGTTTCCGACTCAGTTGTGCTGTGTTGCTCATGTTTCTCAGTGCTTTCTCGAGCCTGCATTCGTGATTTGAGACGAGACAATTCCCTAAGATCGATACTTTCTTTCGACTCAGTTGTACTGTCTTTCTTATGTTTGTTAATGCTCTGCCAAGCCTCCATCGTATATACTGGTTTTTAAGATCGCTTCTTTCTTAACATTATAAGCTTGATTATGCGTATTTCCGCCTTCGATCCTTTGTGTCTTCGATGCATCTTGAAACCACAAAGAAGCGAGGATTCGATTCTTCAAACTATAGTTAGCGAATCTTTCGTCGTTTCATGGTTAGAGTTGATGCGAAAGCGTTGTCTATTCAAACGTAAATGTAACTGAACGCTTTTAGCTTTCACAAACAAAGTTCATGGCTTCGAGCACAGGTAGCCCAAGCTTGGTTTCTGTGGTGTCCTGTTATAAGGAAATGTATGGGGAATCATCAAAAATTTCAATAAAATCATCAAAACGTGAAATAAAGCCTTGAAATTTTACCCTATTATTGAGAAATAGCACTTCTTTCGCTCTGCGTGGTTATTTTTTGAATTTAGCCCGTTTTAAGAATTTTTTCCCCCACCAGTAAGAAATCTTAAAACGGGCTAAATTCAAAAAATAACCACGCAGAGCGAAAGAAGCGCTATTTCTCAATGATAGGGTAAAATTTCGAGGCTTTATTTCACGTTTTGATGATTTTATTGAAATTTTTGATGATTCCCCATACATTTCCTTATAACAGGACACCACAGAAACCAAGCTTGGGCTACCTGTGCTTCGAGAAGCTTCGACCDATATTTGGAATTCTACTGATAATGCAACACGTCATAAGAATGACGTCATAAGACTGGGAACGAGTTTTTAACAAGAAATCATCTAAATTTAAATAGTAAATTTCTGGAGTTTCAAGATGCTCGATTTCATATCTTTGGTGTAGCAACGATTAACCTCCCAAACATCTCAAAAATTACAAAGAAATGGCAATCGAAGCCATACGTACTGCTGAAACCTGTTAATTTTGATGTGCTCTTTCTTGGGTACTATCGTCGTGTACGGATTAACGAAGTACGTCATAGGTTTCCGAACACACGAGTGTGACTTAGAAATTTTGCTTCTCCTCACTTAGAAAAAAAATTAAGTGAAGACACCAAGAATCGAACTCGGTACCTTCGGCACCAAAGAACTACTACAATGCCAACCCCAACCCTAACCCTAAACCTAACCCCTAGACCACGAAGCGAATTCGGTTGGGTGGTCTCATTTTTTAGTCATATTTAAACGATGTATCATCAGCATGTGTACATAAATATTTAATATAGTTTAATTTATGCTATCGTAGGGTACGACTACTAGCCGATTACTCGAAATTTGAATTTGAATAGAATTCCCCTGACAATTCCCGTACACGACGATACAACCCTTTCTTGTCATGGAAATACTTTTTCAATAAGATTGATCATAACTTCTTTGCAATCGTTCTTAGTTTTTCACTCGTTTCTTATATAACTTGATAATTTTCATAGGAGATCGGAGTAGATCTTAGTTTAATTGCATTATTGTTCTAACTTTAAGTGAAAATAATAAAATCGGTTGTGTAATATCCTATTTTTAGAATCTCCTCGCATTGTTTTTTGTGTCTACTGCATATTAATAAGCAGTAGACACTATGCCATCCAGTGTGCCGAGATATACTTCATGTCCTATTTAACTAGCGAAAAATATACAGTCGACTCACTTTGAACGACCACTCTCGTAGCGACCATCTCCCGTATGCGATCGATCACCTTTTGAAGTTCCCGTTTTGTTCCCCATATAAACTCTTTGAAAAAAACTCTTGTCGTTCGTGATTTCCGTATCTTTCTCACACATGAAAACAGATGAAAACTGGTAAAATCGTAAAATACCTTTCAGATTCATTCAATTTGGGCTCCCCGGCTCCCTAATTTCGTATCGGGAGCTCCACTTTTAGGCAGTGCCTAAATGTATATTATGGTCTGGGAAACGTTTGACCAACGTTTTCAAACCATGATTCGGTAGAGGGTTCAGTGATTTCTACGAGGTAAATCGCACCCATTTTTGTAGTGAATTTTATCTGTTTTTTGGAACAAGCTTAAGGCACACAGGTTTCGTGGAATGCG